ACTGAGAAGAGTACAATGATCCAGCGAAGCCTTAAATGAGATCAGGGCAATCAGCCAGGATGAGCAGGTGAGCAGATAAAGGATGGGAGATCCAGGGAGGCACAGGTATCCAGACGCAGCCCTTGTGGAGAAGGTGAGTACCACCACCAGAGCAGATTCTCTGTGCTGGTTTGTGTCTGACCTCCTGCTCTCCTCATGTGCTTTGGACAGGTCAACATGGCAGCTCCAAAAACTTGAGTGATGAGAGATGATCTCTACAAAGCTGTTGCAGAAATATGCTGTCTCGCAGAGCATGGCTGCACAGATGGTTTTAGTAAGTCTGTGTCACTGAACCACATCACTGTGTACTGGCAGCGCAGAAATACACAGCTGAGTGTGACAGTTTGACATTGGGGAGGCTCAGAGCTCCTTTCACTCTGGTCTCTCTCAAAATCTCGATGTGATTCTGAAACGCCGGCTCATAGTCGGGTTTGTTTGTGTCATAGCTATATCCAATTAAGCTCATCGCTCCATAATCCCTTTGCTGGTACCAGAGCATCACGTATAAACTGTCATCATCGTGGCTGCATTGGATTTCTACTCTTTCGCCTACGTTGACTATCCTGGATGGAGGTTGCTGGAATGTCACACAGTTGGCTTGATCTGCAGGAAAGAGATTTAAAATGTGGTTAATACTAGTTGACAAAAACAAGTAGAAAAATTCTGAAGGTTGTTATTGTTGAAGAAAGATTACATGGAAAGAAGAGCAGAAAAAAAAGTGTGATTCCAGCTGAACACATCTTCGAGTATGAGACCGACTGCCTAACTTCTCTGCTCTGTGAAGACACGCTTCCTCTGACGTAAGAGCTGAAGAAAAGAAGACGACACTGAGGGACTTTTTGTGAGGGAGCAGTATTAAACCACACCGCTGTGTGCTGGCAGAGTAACAGGTTTGCTGTGGGAATAACCAGAGCTCCTTTTACGTTGTCTTCTCTTTCAAGCTTAAATTCTTCTTTATATTGACCCTCGTAGGTCGGGTCTCCTGTGCCATATCCAAACCCAATGAGGGTCATAGACTGACTGCCTGGTCTTTGCTGGTACCAGAGCATCACAAAGCGGGTCCCGTCATCGTGGCTCACGTTAGAGGTCACGTTCACAATCTGAGGAAGACTTTGATGAAATATGATGCTGCTGACCAGAGCTGTGGATGTTTGGATAAAATTATTACTGCAGTACAAACAAAGAGGACAGTTATAGGTTTATGTATGAGGGAATGTGAAACTTGGAAAGCAGAGGAAGAGAAAGCCAAACGTGTGGAGGAAAGGAGACATTGTGAAAAAGTAATGTTTGCTCTGAGTGACTGAGCTCATGTATTTCTGGAATGGGGAGGTGCTCCCCATCCCCGGCTGCCTCCCTCTTCCTGCTCCAACACACCCACCCACACAAGTAGGGTCTTCGGGTGTGGGTGTGTCACCAGGGCGCAGGGGAGGCATCCCCCCCCTCTGTCCCCTTCTGGCCACCTGTGCCTCAATTTTATTCCACAACTTAGACATCCACATTACTCACACTCTCATAACATATACATATAGGGCCTTGAGGGTGGGCACGTTAACGGTGTTCAGTGGACGGTCTGTGTATTCACCCCACCTCTGGTGCTGGTGCCCACCTCTCAATTTTAAATCCATGTAGACATTGATGGTTCTTGGGAGGGGCCCTGCTATCACCTGCTGCTCTCTGGCTGAAGCACCATGCTCTCCTGTGTTTTAAATGCACCTTAGAACAACACGCAGCAACACTACACATGAGCGAGAG